TTTATTATTCACCAATAGTTTGATGGTTTAATTGGAAATTATAAAAAAGTGGTACTTAATTTTCAATTAGACATATTTAACTATGAGTAGATGATTATCTATTTAATTATAAATAACTATGTCACAAATTAAAATGTTTGCTTCGAGGAGAAGTTTGGCATTAGAGTTTGTCTATATAAGCCAACCATTTTGGCGTCCCCTCTCCTTACCCTTAGCCACCATGAAATTTCCCCTCCTATCTCTCTTACTACGTGTTTAGAAAGTCATCATAATTCAATATGAGTGAGTGCAAAACCCGAACCCGAAAACTGAAAAACCGACAAAATTGAAACCAACTTTGAAACCAACGTTTGGGTTTGAGATTTTCAAAAACCGAAAATTTCAATTTGGTTCGTTTTTATAAATTTAAGAAACCAATAAAAAGTGAACCGAACCGAAGTATATTAAATACATAATAAAGATATATTATATATATATATATATATATATATATATATATATATATATATATATATATTATATTCATAGAAATAAGAAAACAAGCAGCATCTTGGTGGCTTGCTAAGTTGTTGTCTCTTAAAAATAGACCTAGGTTCCATTCTCGCTGAGTGTTGTTGGCAGTTTTATTTTTCCACAATCTTTAGCTTATCACACATTGACGCTGGGATGAAACTCCACGCTAAATGTTATTGTATAAATGACAGGTTAACAGATGTATTTTAAATATCAATAAGAGTTGTCCCACATCGAAGCTGTGAGAAACTCACCCAAATATATCCTTCTGTATAATGAAGTCGTTGGATTATGTTTCAAGCGTTTATTTTTTCTTGATTAACATTTTCTAAACGTTATTAACATTTTTGAGCGTTTTTTTTTTCTAGGTTAACATTTGTTGAAATTTAATTTTAGATTATTCAAATGCTTGTTTAAACATCAAATCAACGTTGCATCATTTTAATCGGTTAAAACACATCATTAACGTTTGAATATTGAGGATCACCTAATGCTGTTATTATCAACCAATCGATTAGTATTTGAAATTAGGGAACAACTCGTTTCTTTTTACTATTTTATAAATCTGCTTTTGCTTTCTTGATTTCTTGACAATCTTTTTATCAAAATGCGTTATTCACTGTTATCAACCTATACAAATACAATAGCAAATATCTAATATGATTGCATGGTGTTTAATTATATATAGTTTATTCAAATTAATGGGTTACTCTTTTCCTTTAGAATACGTATAGTTCCACAAAATATGGTATTTTGGTGCATTAGACCATAAAATTCACAAAATAAAAACATGCTTTTGATGAATCCAATGAATAATTGATCTAATAGTTTGAATTTGGTTGTATGATTAGATGATATTGATATTTGATATTATTTGGTTATATATATATATATATATATATATATATATATATATATATATATATATATATATATATATATCTCATAAGGAGAAACAGGGAAAGATCCTTGAAACGTGTAAAACCGGAATTGTTCAAGAAAGCGTGAAGATTTTCAGGAGCATGGAGGAATTAGGCGTACCAAGAACTATAAAATCATACGACACTATTCAAGGTGATAATGAGAAAAGGTACATATAAAATCATTTGTGATTTACATGCGAATCACATGTAATTCACATGTAAATCATATTAATTGTTTATTTTTTCTAACCATATAGTTTATTTTAATTTGTTTCATTTTACTAATATATCACAAGTGAATCACATATGAATTAAATGTGATTCACATGTAAATCGCATGTAATTCACAAGTAAATCACAAGTGATTCACATGTAAATCACATGTGATTCACATGTAAATCACATGTAATTCACAAGTAAATCACAAGTGATTCACATGTAAATTACATGTAATTCACATGTAAATCACAAGTGAATCACATATGAGTTAGATGTGATACATATGTAATTTACATATAAATCACATGTAATTCACAAGTGATTCACGTATGAATTACATGTGATTCACATATAAATCACAAATGAATTACATATAAATTACATGTGATTCACAACTACATTTCATATGAATTACATGTGATTCGCATATAAATCATAAGTGAACCACATATAAATTACGTCTATATGCACACATGTATTTTTGTGAGTTTCTTGCATTAATCATTTTTTTTTATTTTTCTTGTAGATTTGGAAGAATTTGTGGAAAACATTAAAGAGATGAAAAATGATAAATTAAAGAAAATATGGAACACGAAGACATAAAAACGCTTTGAAATTTTGTAGTATTTTTTGGTTTTTTTATATTTAATTTTGTATCGAATAAAATACTCGTATTATGTGTTTATAGATTATTAAATAAAAATGGATTATTTTATATGATTACTTAAAATATTATAGTATAAGAAATATATATATTATATATATATATATATATATATATATATATATATATATCTATATATATATATATATATATATATTTGAAAAATATACATATATGCATCTAAAACGTTGATTTTTTTTCTTAAAAAAATTATAGTTTTTTTTTTAAATATTCCAGTTTTTTTTTTAAATTTTTTGATTTTTAAAAATTTACTTTTTAAAAAAAATTGCAGCTTTTTAGAAAAAATTACAGTTTTTTTTTTAAATACAGTTTTTTTAAGAAAGTTACAGCTTTTTCTTGAAAAAGATGCAGTTTTTTTTTGAAAAAAATGCAGTTATTTTAAAAAAAAAATGCAGATTTGTTTTAAAAAAAATGCAGTTTTTAAATTTTTTTTTTCAATTAAAAAATGAAAAAATCTCCATTTTTTTAAAAAATCGAAAATTATTTTAAAAAAAATCCGAAATTTGATTTATTATGTTAATTTTTAGAACTCTTTTTATTAGTATTTCCAATAACAAAAAGAAATTAAACATTAAATGAGACCGGTAAGATGAAGATCATGCCTTTAATGAATTAATTTTGATCTAACGATTCACCTTTAATTTTTAGGTTATCGGGAAACTATAAGTTCTCAACGGATCTTTTATATATATATATATATATATATATTATATATATAATATATATATATATATATATAACGTTTCTTAAGGGTAGTATAAAAAATAAAATACGAATAAAAGTTTTTTATTTATGCTGTGTTATAATTTTTGCAGCTTTTGAGAAGAATTAATGTATCCAACAATATAACATGTTAAACCGGTAAAAATATATATTTAAAAGTAGAATGAATATAAAGTTTTTTGAGATCTTTTAGTTTTTAATATTAAAAAAAAAAAAGCCTTAAAAAAGGAAACTTTGTTAGGCAATATGATATTTTAGTGTTAGGATTTTAAACAAAAAACTTATACCAAAAGCTATTTAAGTATCTTTTAGGAGATTTTGGTTTTTTTTATCCAATTTTATGAATGTTTTAAAAACCAGTTCAGTCGAACCAGCCGTTTGGATTCGGAATCGAAGAAAGAGCAGTTCAACCAGCATTGGGTTTATGTTTATTTCTTGACTGAAATGAACTTGTTGGTTTTTATAAAAAAAACGGTTGAATCTAGGGGTAAGCATTTGGATATCGGGACCGGACCAGACCAGACCGAGAACCAGACTTGGACTTGAATCATGCAAAATCGGTCGGGTACAAAACCGGGTAGGTTCGGTCCAACTTTTTTTTTGTTTTGTTTTAAAGTAATAGACAAAACTAACTTTGATAAGGCTTCAACGCGTTATACCATATGCACCTAAAGTTGTACTGGTCCAATGGGTACAAGAATCAAAAAACCCAGACCTAGACCTGGATTTAATAAGCCTACATAGATCCAGTCTATTGTCCACCAATTTCTGCCTAACCGGTCTGGTCCAAATCCCCATCCCTAATTGAATCGGTTATATTGAATAAAAACACATATGAATAAATGATTTTGCACAACAAACTTTAATGGTCGTTTTATATCTATTTAAATTTCTCATAAATTAAATTACAACACATGGTATGTATTCATCTAAAACTATATTTGGTTTCGATATTATAATTTATTTTCTTTTTAATGTATCTTGGTTAATGAATTTTTTATGTTTGAACTTATTTTTATATGTTATTTTAATATTTGAACTTGTATATATAGATAGAAATGAGAAAAAACATAAAACTTCCGGACCGGATTGACCTGGCGAACCGGAACCAATTGTTATACTGGTTCAACTGAACAACCAATTTTTAAAACAATAAACTTTACATAATTAAAAACTAAAAACTATTTTTCTAAACACTTTTACACAAATAAAACATACTCCTTTCAGCTATCAACTATCAATATTCTTCTAACTACTACTAGTTAATTTTGTATTCTACAAAATAAAATTTAACGGCTTACTTAGCTAAACAAAAAAACCAATAATCCAATAACACCTCCTACGACAATATTGAACCAAAATAAAATGTTATTCTATGTCAGAGATATACTAACATGACATTCTAAAAATAAATGTTATTCTATTCAGTTTAACATCACTTGGGTTCAGCTTTAAGGTTTTTTAAACATCTGACGTATATGATAATTGATTTTCTTTGTATTTACTCTTCTTGAAAAACAAATTTGAAAACAGCGTGATCCAAAACATGTTAGTATAAATCATTTTAAAACGATTTAACAACCAGTGTAATAATTATATTCGATTTCATGTAATAGTAGAATGTCACAAATTGTAAATTCATTAAGAATGTTGCGTACCAGGTACTAAATTCTTGACATTTTCGTCATGAAAATACATTCATTTAAGAAACCAAGATTGAATTTCACAAGAAATGCGTCTTTAGACTTGAATCGAGTAGATGATCAATCGATATGAGTTTTAAATCGATGATCATGAAACTTGCAATTAGATCAAAAGTAAAAGCTTGAAAACATTAAGAGCTTGTATCGAACATGAAATACTTTTGTATTTACATAAAACTACTTTGGGTTTTACTTTTACCCAATGCCGCCATCTGGGTATGATGATTACTGTAATTACTCCGCTGCCGCCGCCGACGATGGCGGTTTCCGGCAGAATTGAAAATTATTTACACGATGATTCCTCTTTTCCACCACGAAATGCCCCAATAAACCCACCGTCTCCACCAGATTCTCGCTGCAGAGAAACTCATTGCTACTCACTCTCTCCATTTCTCTATCAAACTCATGAACAAACACATGGGTCTTGTCGGCGCCGGAGGTTTTGCTCCGGGCGAGTACGCCGGCGGTGAATATAGCCGACAGTCTTCCAGGTGCTTTTGGAAAATACCCACGTGGGCCGTCGATCAGAATGGCGTCCCAAGCGACGTCGTATACGTGGTTTGGTAAGTCATTAATGGCTAATTTACATTCGGAGAAGAGGAGGTTCTGTACAGGCTTACACTCATTCCGGCGTTCCGATTTCGAATACTCGATTAATTCGTGTAGATCGCTCACTTTGGTTGTGAATTGAACGTCGTAAGCTTCGATCCCTGGGTTTTTCTCTTCGAGTTTTGAAATGAAGTAAGCGCTCTCGTCGACGAATGTCGTCCGGCCGTTGATGTTAAGGGCGTGCCAGAGGAGGGTTTCGTGGGTGAGACCGAAAACAAGTAGGTTGCAGGGGGAGGAGCAGCGGCGGAGGACGGAAGCTATGGCGTTGAGTTCAGCCGACGACATACGCGATGGGTTTGTGGAGTTTGATGTGGTTCCGGCGTAGTGGAGGAGGGCGTCGAATACGGGTTTGGGTAAGGGGGGTGATGAAGCGGCGGCAGTGGCGGAGGAAGCGGTGGTTCTGGAGTAAGGGAGTGTAGAGAAGAGGGAAAATGTTAATGCGAAGGATAGAAGGGAGAGAAGAGTGAAAAGCCAGAGACGGTGGTGAGGATGAGGAGCTCCACCAGCACCACCGACACCGGTACCGGCTTGCTTTTGGATGGAAGGATGGAGGAGGATAAACTTGGTGGTGGGCTTCATCGGAAATGTAGAGAGAGAAAGTTGTAAGAGAGAATTGATTTATATCGGGGGGAGTGGAGAGAAATTTAAGGTGACAGAGAGAGGGGGCTCAAATCACGAGGGTATTATACCCTAAAATCCCTAATATTAGTAGTGGGACCTACGAGTAGCAACACGGCGCCGTTTCTTGTGTAACCGGACCTTATTTTACATCTTTTTTTTACCCAAACTTTCTGTTTGGATAAACGGACGAGTTATCCAAAGCACAAGACATAAGTTATTTTGCTTTTTTATTTTTCAAAAAAATATTAGGGTTTGAGCAATGGTTTCATGTTTATCATGGTTATAATGTCGGTGGAGATGGATTTGGTGTTGTAACATTAAAAATTTGATGTCTCATATGCTGCATCATAATATGTTTTAATATCAAATGAAGACGAAATAAAGGGCGGTTCAACCAATTTGGAGGCTCTAAGCAAACAAAAAATTGAGACCCTTCAAATAAGCAAACAGTTTCGAACTTAAGACATTTAGTTTATAAATCAATGTTTTATAAACAAACGAGATCAGGGGTGGTTCAACCAATTTGGAGGCTACATCATAATATGTTTTAATATCAACTGAAGACGAGATGAGTGGTTGCCTCTTCCCGTTAGAGATGTTATGAGCATAATATGACTTAACAACACATGGAGGCGGGACAGTGTTCACATTTATAACATGTTTTAAGAGATGCAATGTAAGCATAACGCAGATCAATCTCAAGCTGCTTCTAAGCTTTACATAGACTTCGTATAAGCTTTATCTAACAAGAAAAGTGGTGTTATGATATTGAAGACGATATAAAGAAAAGACCGTGGAAAAATATAGGATTTAAATACATACATACATGCCCTCTCTCCTCAGCAACCCATTGTCGTGTGTTTCCTCTTTCCTTGACACGCCGCCATGGTGGGGCAGCGTATGCCGATTTGCCACCGATTTGACGAGTTCAATGTCAATCCACTCCTCAAAGCCTTATGACACAAGTATCTTAGGGTGGATGCATCACTATCTTTTTCATCCCAAACACATGGAATCTCATATTTCCATACTCCCAACCTACTTAATTTTCATGTTTAATTTTTTTTGTTTAACTTTTTCTAATTAAAAAAAAGTTATAAAAATAAAAATAAGATTTAATTAAAAAACATACTACAATCAAATACTATTTACATAAAACAACAATTAAAATTAACTACTTATCCAAAGATGGAAGGTAGGCGTGCCTAATGTCATCAGAAAAATCGGATCAAAGATGGTGGTGTGTTTCAACGTTGCGCAATTCATGCAGTATTTTTGGGACAATGACTCTTTCATTAGGGAAATAGGTTGATGCACATGAGATATCTCAGCACCCTCCTCTTGTAGTATCATATTGTGCAATATAATACAAACGTACATTATATCTCTTATTCTCTTCAACAACAAAGACCATGTCGATTGTTGTAATATGTTGCAGCATGTTGTAAGAACCCCAAAAACACGTTCTGCGTCCTTTCATGCCAACTCTTGTGTCATCTTGAACTGTTTTTTTTTCTCGGTTATTGGATGTGAATATGACTTCACAAATACATCCCAGGTTGGATATATTCATTCTGCAAGATAGTAACCATGTTTGTAATGTTTGCCGTCCAGATTAAATAAATTGATGTGTTTTATAAATTTATTTAAAAAGCTTTAAATTTATATCCTGATTATTTAACTCAGCTAAAACATAATAAACAATATACCTAGTCGCGTAGTAGTAAAGTAAAGTAAGTAAGAGTCGAACACTGGAAACGAAATTCTAATTAAGAAAATAATACTAATAATTAACCTAAAGAAACAAACTTTAAATTAGTTTTTATTTGATTTTACAAGTTTAGAAAAAAGTTAAACTGAAACACTTAATTAATTACTTGAAACCAAAGTAAAGAACTAGAAAACTATTTTTAACCAAGGATAAAAAATACTTCCGTTTAACTTCAAATCCTTCCTATTTCCTATGGTTGATTTCAAGACAATGAATTAATTCAGTTAACTACCAAATAAAAAAGTTACTAGTCATCATGGTCAGACTAACTAACATAAGTCAATTCATGAACTTTAACTCTAATCGTCATGCAAGTTAAGGACACTAAATTTATTTTAAAGATAATTTGGACTCTGAATGATAAAATCTAAAGACTACTATTCTATGGTCAAGTCAAGTAATCAAGCAAATATTATGGTTAAATACTGCTTTCTAACACACTTAAGCAACTAACTTTACCACCTATACTAGGATATGGTCAATCTCTAGCTCTAGCAATTTAATGGTCATAAAACAACTAGGTAAATGAAGTTCATGAAATTAACTACAGTTTAACTAGACAATTTTGAGGCAATGCAATAAAATAGAAACTTTAACAAGCTAGGTTGAGATTTATAACAATATTTAAAGCAAAAATTAAGTTTATAACTCCATCAATTATGAAATCGACACATAATATTAGGAGTTCATCTAATCTAAACGAAATAAATGTTTTTACACCATATTCAGTAAACTAAAGCAGAAAAACATCACCGAAAGATTGCAAGACATGTTCATCAAGCAAACCCCGAAGCAAAATCTTGATGCAATAGCGTTTGAATCTTCAAATCCTTACTCCAATCGACTCTTTAGCTTCAAAATCGACCCTTGGAGGGTTTCTTAACTTCAAGACGAAGTAAAAGTCGCACCTATAGGTTGACAATTCCTGTACACCAATTAGGGTTGGAAATCTTGTGTTTTTTTTAGATTTTTTAGCTCCACGGTGCGGTAAAGGTTTGGCCACGCCGTGGGAGACGGAATCTTCGCGTCCACGATTTTTTTTCCACGCCGTGGAAATATATTTGCCACGGTGTGGGAACTGAGAATCAAACTTTTTCACAAACATGAAAGCCATCCGTAATTTTTTCTAGTTTCTGGAACATCTTGAATCTCGTCATTCGGAGTTACGAGTCATGAGATATGGTCAAAACACTGACAATGGGTCAAGCTGTCGGCAATATCATTTTTGTGTCTTTTTTAGCTCCGTTTGCTTCCTTTTGCATCCCAACTTTCATTTTAACTGTATTTGAACATTTTAAAACATATTAAGTATCATATATCTAAAAATATAACATTTTATAGCTTAAATGTATTAAAATAATGTATAAATATATGTATAAATATAGCAATATCAAAATACCCTACACTTATCTTTTGCATGTCTTCAAACAAATTAGATTGTTATTATGCTATATCAAAACTTTGCTCACTAACATCACATATAATAACCTAATTTGAATTCTCCAATTATGTCTCGCCTCAATATATATATATATATATTATATATATATATATATATATATATATATATATATATTTGTGTCTAAAATCCGAAATACTTCCCATATCCTAAATACTCACAATCCTCATAAATGTTCTCACTTATTTTGAACAACATTCATTTCTGCATCTCTCCAAATACATCCTCGAAAGATTTTCTTAACCTCAATGTATTTTTGTTATGTTTTCAACCATACATATGATAAAAATAACCTAGAAAGAAAACTGACAATCAATAGCCCTTGGCTTTTGGCAATTTGCCTTATTTCTTCGCTTCTTCAAGATCTTGATAACTCTTATTCACTCACCAAACTTTTGAAAACTTTGTTTTTCTTTTCAATTTTTTTTTCTTTTTTTTCAACTTTTTTCATTTTTTTTCTTTCTTTTTTGATAACTCACATTTTTTCTCTTAAACTAAAAACTAAAAGAAAACATATGCTTAAGCAAGGGAACTTAACCTCAACCTTTATTGGTTAAAGACATTAGTCTAAAGTGCAATGACTACAAAAATAAATTTTGGATGCATTTCAGTACACGATGCAAAACATATTATGTCTCTCAAACCACACGAGTTCACATTTTTGTCTCATGATTTCATTAGAATTGGGAAGCCACAAATAAAATATAACATATAAGCTAAACAAAACCTTTAAATTCACATAAAATTATCCCACATAATACTAGAAAACTTAGTTCTAACACAACAAATTTTTTGAATTTTCTTAGATTTTTCTAATTTAGATCACTTTTCAAGTCTTTATATTTTCATTTTTTTTGGCATTTTTATATTTTATTTCAATCTAGTATGCTATTTTCCTTTAATTCGATCCTCTACCCCACACTCAAATTATACAATGACCTCATTGTATAAAAATAGTTAAAGCATATAAAATTAAAAGAGGGAGAAAAGGAACAAAGTCACCTTGGTTATGAAGTCGCGAGATTGGATGACTTTCGTGAGTTTCTTGTTGATACTAAGCTTGGATTTGTCTACTGGAACACTCCGGAATCTGAACATCCTTGCTGAAATTGGTGGACTCTTGGCAAATAAAATATGAGGCGGACAACTAAACTTCAAATCTCAAGAAAATATTTTGAATGGGGCGTTGCCACGTCATGTCAAATAATGGGCCACAACATGGTTTCTGTAAAATCTGGAACTTCAATCACGAGAAAATCTTCGTAACGACGCGCAGTGAGAATTGGCACGTCACAGTCTTCAAATGTCAGGAAAGTCGTCGCGATGTAATAGTAAATCACGTCTCGAGGTAGCTAGGCTCGAGTCATATCTTCGTGAAAAAAAAATCTAAACTCTTCATCACTAAATGAATCAACTAATCTGGAAGTAGCTAATTTCTCGATCGGTCTCTCATATCAGTTTCTTCCTATATGTAGCATTGGTAGCTTAATTGACTCCTCATTTTTATTTTTTCCCCATGTTGAATGTATACCCTACACTTGTTTGTGTGTCATGCTTCTTGCCTTTTTCTCGTAATACTCCACCCACTCTTGCATTTTTGCCCATCATTAATTTCTTAGCTGGACTCCTTCCCGTTCTACGTTGTATCAGGTGGGAGTGTAATCTGCCTATTCTCCATCACATTGAGTTTATTCTTTTTGTAAGCTGCCATTCTTCGGGTATATGCCT